GGGAAGATTTTATGGATGAAAATCTTAAAGGGTAAAACAACTCAAGAAGCTTGGGAGACTCTGAAAAATGAGATTATAAAAGCCCAGTTCAGCACAATACCACTGAAAAGGAAAAATAAGAGATCCAAGAAACCAGCATGGCTGTATAAAGGACTGTGTAAAATTGAAAGACAAAAAGGACATGTATAAAAAATAGAAAGAGGAACACATAGCTAAGGCAGCATATACAAATCTGCAAAGATAAAGTCAGGAATGCTAAGGCTCATAATAAATTAAGACCTGAAACAAATGTCAAAAATAATAAGCCTTTGATTAGATGTTTGAAGGGCATGGTCTGAGGACATCTGGTTGCAGGCTTGAATCTAAACAGGAATAGAAACTGAGTGGGAAACCCCAATGTACCCTTGTGAGTTCCATGGTGGAAGGATGGCCAAATGTAAATGCACTCAGTAAAATAATATAATACATAACTTAAAACAAAAGCTATTGTCAAATTTACCAAAAGGGTTTTTTAAATTGAGCTAATTCTAATGCAAACAAAATAAAGTCACTTGGTTCAAGCCTGGCAGGTGAGATTTTGGTGCTCTTCTTACTTGGACATATAGATAGTTCTCCATAAGTACAATGATAAAATAGGTATTTATTGAAAATCCAGCAAAAAGAACTATTATACCAAGAACTGGGATTTTGCGGCATCAGTCTTTAAGAAAATGCCATTGTGTATAGCTTCTATTTAAGAAACAAATACAAGTATTGCTGGTCTTTCATTTAAGTTCACACCAACATAAAGGGGCCCAGAGTGCAATTCACAAAACTCAAAGGCTTCAGGACTTCCCTTTTACAAAAAAAAAAAAAAAAAAACACCATTTCCTTACATACTGAACTTCAGATCCAACCTCACAGAAATACTAGAAAAAATATATAGACACCACCACTGCCTTGAAGTATTAAAACATGCTAGTTAGAGACTCACAGATTAATGGTTTTCACTTGTGTAACAGATCATTCAAACCACATTCAAAAATCCTCCCCAAACTGAAAGGCTGCAATTTGGTGCAACTTCACAAGCGCACAGCACAAAACTGCTGACAAAAATATAGCTAACATAAAATCAGAAAGCTGGATGGGGACGCAGGGTATCATTTATTTCAAGGGTGGGGAATCTGAGGCCCTCCAGATGCTGTTGAAATGCAACTCCCAGATACCCTCACTATTGGTCATGTTAGCTGGAGCTGCCAAGAGTTCTAATTCAGAAACATCTGGTAAGCCAAATCCTACTCTTCTTATAGGCAGAGAAATCATTCAGTGATTACAATTATTTGGAATAGGTAGTGTCAACACTTGTCAATAAAATCATAGCAAAATACAGAGAGAGAGAGAGAGAGACAGACAGACAGACACACAGACAGAGAGACAGACACACAGACAGAGACAGCAGCTCTCTTTGTCTGGGATCACGACTATAACATAAACATGGAACAAAATGCATTTCATTTAAGGAATGGCAGATAGCCGCAAAATGTAGAATACAGGTAAACCTCAGGTTATGATAGTAATCGGTAATTTCATGATGGCTCTCTAGAATTGATTTCCAGCACAATGGTAGAATAAAAAAACATAGAAATACTACCAAGAATGTTTAGAATGCAGTTCCTGGTCAAATTAACTACAGCCCGTACTTGAAAATTTAACTTAATAAAATTGTGTTTCAAGGGCAAGATGACGATTTTCACTGTTTTGTAAACTGATAGATACTCTCAAGGATACAAAAATTATTCCCTTCCTTAACCTCTAAGACAAAGCTAGCCTTCCATTTTGTCAGTAATATTATCATTATATATGTGCTATCACTTACCACGATTAAAGCTGTTTTGTTTATGTTTGCTTTGTAACACAAAGTATAAAAAGATATATAAATTGTATGTCTTTGCTTACTTATATATAGAAATTCCGATACATGATCTGATCAATGACAGGCATAAATTCATTAAGTTTCTAACCAGTATTTTTCTAACAGAATATGCTCCTAATAATGTGTGAAGAATTAAAAAAATAACATAGAGAATAGCAAAGTGAATTGTGCCTGTGCAGCCTCTTTGTGATCCTAGAGGGCCCTCTAGCTTTCCTCTAGAGGAATTCTGCAAGATGAAATGACACTAGAAGATGCCCAAAGCACCACAGGAGGAAGACAAAAAGCAAACCTTATCAAGCACAGGTAAAAACCTTTATTAAGGCTTACAATAAGAATGGCAAAACAGGCTATTTCTTCATTTTTACCATTCTCATAGCTGGCAACCAGCAACTCTGTTTTGGGAGGCTATGTCTCTTCTTGGCAAAGAGAGAAAGACTGGGGAAACCCTTGCAGGAATACTAGGTGGACTACTTACTCTATTGATAAAGTTAATCAGATCCAGACAGGCTGATCAGTTAGAACTGACTTGAGGCATGATCTTGTTCAATTATTGGTAAGAGTTTCACCTGATTGGTCCTGAGGAAATGGGCAGCATTTTTGGGACTGTGATTTCTGCCACCTGTGCTTTAGATCCATGTCTCTCCTAGCCTCTCGGGAAGTGATGCATGCTTGGATACAAGATATGGTAAACTCCTCTTTGGAGGAGAAGATGTTTGCATTTAAAGAGGGGGTTGACTGTCTCCTTCCTAAGAAGCCGTCCTTGGATCCAACAGTTCAGAATGATTTCTTTCCAATCTCCATCCTTCTCTTTTTAGATTGGTTGTTTCACAACTTCAAAGGGCCCTGAAGAAAGCAAATTTTCTGGATTCTTTCTAGTCAAACTTCAGGCATGTCAAGTATTCATTCTATGTATTCCAAGACAGATAAAATAAGATATTATAAACACAAACAAAAGCTATTCTTCCTCAGATAAATATGGTTATAGTTTTAAACCTGGAGCTAACAATGGATTCTGGGGCTATTAGCTTTCTTTTGGATAGATATCTGCAATATGTCTGCAAATGAATTCCTACATTGGAAACTATATTTGTGCTATTTTATATATCAAACCAGATCTCAGTACATTTTGTCCTGGGAGAATCAACTCTCCTTTCTCCATGAACCTCTTCTGCAGCTCATATGTATATTTATCGTGAAACTTTTTAAAGAAACTAATCCTAACAGAGAGCCAGCATTGTTGCCAAATAAAATATTTATTTTTTTCCAGTTTAATTTTGTAAATCAATCTTATAGCCAATATCAAAAAAGTTTGCTGATTTATACTACTCCTATAATTATGAAGCTTAAATACAGTATAAAATAACCAAATGATAAGGAGCGAATTTGTCATCAAGCTACAACTACAGTGCCATCTTGTGGTGAATTAAAAAATTCCAGTAAAATATACTGTTGTTACCTTTTCATAATAAGAATCAATATTTTTTGTCAGTTAAGTAAGGATTCTATTTAAGCTTTATTGCACCAGAAAAAGAAATAGCATAATATTCAATAGAATATTGCTATTATGCAGAAAATAGGAGGAGGAAGGAGTATTAACCTCCTTGAGTTGTTTATAAAAATAATAAAGGTAGAAAATGAATGGGTGAGTGAATAAGTAAGTAAATATCACAAAGGGAAAAAATGGTGGGATTGAAGTTGTTCTGGAAGAGAGAAATAAGACCTGCAACAAAATGTTACACTCTATTTTCACATCAGCTAAAGTGCTCCTATTATGTACAAGTACTCCTCAACTTGCAGCCATTCAAGTGACTATTGGAAATTACAGCAACAATGAAAAAACAATGACTTACAACTAGTCTTCACATTTATGACCATGTAAAAATCCCCATGGTCACATGATCAAAACCCAGATGCTTGGCGGCTGGCATATATTTATGATGGCTGTAGTGTCCCAGGGTCATGTGATCGCCATTTGGAAGCTCCTCAGTCAGTTTTCAACAAACAAAGCTAATGGGGAAAGCAAAATTTACTTAATGACCATGTGACTCACTTAACAACTGCAGTGATTCTGTTAACTGTGAAAAAAAAGGAAATATGATTGTATGCCCACTCATCCAACAACTGCCTTACAGGCAACAGAAATTCCAGTCACAATTATGGTCATAAGTAAAGAATTATCTGTATTTCAGATAGCTATTACCTGTAGGATATATTTCTTTTCATTCATTTCATTCCCCAATGTATAAAATAAACATTCAATTTTCTGTGACTTTGGGAGCCTACTGAGTTATTTCCCAATGCATTATTTTGATGCATTAGTTTATACCCTTCAGATTTTTTTATGATAGCTTATATGTATGGGTTGGAGTAGACAGCTGTCTTTTTCAATATGTTTTAAGTACTTAACTGTTGACAAGTAATTCTTCAGTTAAATATCAGAGGAATGAGTCTATTCTTATTAAAGATCACTCTTGCTCAGAAGATACCTGGAATGGAGTTCCGTAATGGCAGTTTAGGTTTTACTTATCCTGGATTGCATTTGAAAGATCTGAATGGCAAAAAAAAAAAGAAAAATAATTATGGCAAAAAAAAGCAAGTGACAATTACAAACTGATTAGCAAATATGGTTCTTATACATTTATGGGGGTCTCTAAACTCTTTAATTCATCAATTTATTCATGAAATTTCAGATTGCTTACCAATCCATAATTATATGAAAAACCCTACTTTAATAGTACTACAAATAATAATAACATCCACCTTTGAAGGTTAATATTGATCATTTTGGAAAACCTTACTTTTTTATAAGGAAGGCATTAATCAACCAAACTGACACTGTATATAACTGACCGACTGAAACATTTTTATCCACTCTCCTCTGTTCCTAGGACCCCGCCTCTCCTTCAGCTCCGCCTCTTTCTTTCAATTTCCCCGCTCTCCTTTTTGCAGCCAACCAGAGGAAGCGACTCGGGACGACCAATCAAGGCCCTCTTTCACTCCTCCGCCAGGAAACGCACCTCCTCTCGCCTCCCATTGGCGCGTGCGCACTCGTCTGTACGCCGCCTCGGAGGTGTGAGCAGGTCGGGCCCGTCGATTGGTTGGCGCGTTTGTTTGGGGAGACCTTGGAGGCCTGGCTGGTCGCGCGGGGCCAGAACGTTAGAGCCTCCATGAACAGGTGTTGTCCACCTGTAGCCTCGGTTGTGAGGGGACTCCTCGGCTCCGTTTTTTTCTGCCTGACACGGACTATGAGCCTCCGTGGAAATCCGGCTGCCTATCTGTCGGGGGCCGCGGGCGGCAGCAGCAGCAGCAGCAGCGGAGCGGGCTCTGACGAAGGAGGGAGCGCCTTCTTCCTGCCCTCGACCTCCTCGCCGCGGCCGCGGCTGCTGCGGCTATCGGAGGTGCCGGGCGACGAGCCCTTCAAAGCCAACGACGCGCTGCTGCACCTGCCCCTTTCCGCCCCCGCGACGGGGCAGGCTCAGCATCACGTCGTCTACTTCCCGGGGGACGTGCAGGTAAAGGAGGCGGGCGCCGGAGGTCCGCAGCGGCTTTTCTTCGGATGCGCGAAGCCCGCGAGGAAGGAAACGCACCGCTTTGCACGCCACGCGTGGAGCCTGGGGGGGAGGGCACCGCGTGTTTCGTGGGTTGTCCGTTGGGACTCGTCTGTGGCTCAGCCGCACGTGCGAACGCAGACCCCGCGGGGCTCGGCGAGCAGCGAGGGAACGGCGCAGCCCCGATAGGTACGGCTGCGGCGCCTGGCTGTGAGCAACGATGCGGAGGAACAAGGCAACCCAAGATACGCCAATGGCCTGGAGTTGCTTTTGGGGTGCACGGACGCGGGGGTTTCTCCCTAGGACTTCTGTTGTAGCGTGACTTGTGCTTTGCTGGCAAAATTCAGGTCTCTGAATTAAAATTGAAAGGGAGGGGAATTTATATTGTTGGCCGGTGTTAAGTCGGGTGAGGGTCATCAGAAGAAACCGTGACCTCTTTTGTAGGCCACGATTGGCACTTAAAAATCTGCCATTTCAGAGTTTTATGGGCACACCGTTGTAGATGCTCCTGAAAGTGAAAATCAAGTCGAAACTCTTAAGGAATGTGCTGGATAAAAATCAGGTTTATTTGTTTTCTAATGGAGTCTGTAGATATCTTGCACAAATCTTGACTTGCACCAGTGATCTTGACCAACCATTGAGTTGCTCTAGGTTGTTTGTATCATTTTTAATCCAGAAAGGTTTTCCATGGTGGCCATTATTTATTCTTATTCCACAGTAAAAGAAATGAGGCTGTTGTCTCTGTGGTGGTTGTGGGGTTTTGTTTTGTTTTGGTGGCTAAATTGGTAGCAAGGAGAAAAATCATAGTTATTATAATTACAGCTCAGCAGAATGAATCAGGTTTAAGCCAGCTGAAATAAAACATATACAATACCTAGTTCAGAAAAGGTTAATAATGGAAGATTAAGGAACTTCATATTATTGTAGAGAAATCAGTGAGAGTTTCAGTTTTCTAAGATGCAAATTGAAATAGAAGATATTTGTCTCCATTTTTTAGGTTGGTGTTAAGGCAGGATGCTGCATATCTACCCAAATTCCAGAGTATTTTGTAACAAATGGAAGTGTTGGAAGATATCCTAAGTCATTTTAGCTTTAAAGGCTTTGATGGCATTTAACATCAATGGGCTGTAACTCAATCTTAGAAAGATGAAGCAGCTTCCAGAGACCAAGACTCTTTAGTTCTGGATGGGGTTATACAACCCCAGGCAGACTCATTGTGCAATCTGGAAATCCTCCTAGAGTCCTAGACTTACTGCTCCTGTTCAAAGAGCAGGTGGCAGTCATGGCTAAGAGCCTTTGCACATCTTCAGGTGATACACCAGGTGCACCCATTCTTGGATCAGAAGGCCCTGCTCACAGTAACTCACACCTTTGTAATTTCTCATTTAAACTAGTGCAACATGCTCGATGTGGGGCTGTCCCTGAAGGGCATTTGGAAACTTCAACTGGTCTAGAATGCGAATGGTAAATGGCACCTGTAACCCCATTTCTGCATGAGCTGCATTGATTACCAGTTTGTGTCTGGGGGCAATTCAGAGTGCTGGTTGTCACTTTTAAAGACCTCCATGGCTTGGGGCCAGATTATATGAGGGACCATCTTTTTCCAAGAGTCTCTACCCATCCAACTCTATCTAGCAGAATGGGCATGCTGCAGATCCCATCAGCCAAAGAGTATCAACTGGTGAGGACTAGATGACAGGTTTCTTCTGCAGTGGCCCCTGCTCTGTGGAACTTCCTCCCTTCGGAGATTAGAAAGTCCCCAACCCTGTTCTGGCTATGTTCCAAAGCCGGGGTACTGAAGATGTTAAGGGCCACGTTTCCTGGCTTTACTGCTAACACTACACTGGCCAAGTATCTCAGCTGCTATGTATATTCAATTTGCATGTTTTTATTATTTGATTGTTTGAAAATACTTTAGTGTTTTAGGTTTTGTTTTTTTACTTGTAAGCCACCCAGTCATTGAGAAATTGAATACATACATACATACATACATACATACATACATACATACATACATACTGTCAGAAAAAAAATCAGATAAGTTACAGTAGACTGGAATATCTTAAAAGGGACAGCTGTATTCATTTCAAATGCATGCATTCATCAAATTTTATTAGAATATGTGTTATTTCTACTCTGCATGTGACCTGCAGGTTTTTTTTCTAATAGTTTCCTCTAAAATAATGCCTTTATTTCATTTCAGAACTATCATGAAATTATGGCTTGTCATCCAGAGAACTTCCAGTGGAAACAATGGTGCTTAGAAAATGTTGCAATTATTCTTGGTCATCGTTTTCCAGGCAGTTACATTTGGATTATAAAATGTTCCCGTATGCATTTGCACAAGTTCAGCTGCTATGATAATTTTGTGGCAAGCAATTTATTTGGAGCACCTGAACATACTACTGACTTTGGAGCCTTCAGACACCTTCATGCCCTGCTAGTTAATGCATTTAAACTTGCTCAAAAAATTTTGGTGTCTCAGAAAAACATGCACGAGTTCAGCGACAATACAGAGGAAGTTTCTTGTGAATTACCTACTTTTGCAACTAGTAACGGTTGCCCAGCAGCAGACAAACACTGTGAACATGTTAGCAATTCTGCTATGAGCTTTAATGAGCCTTCTGCTATTGGTAGAAATTCATTCACATTAATAGGATTCAGTAAAGGTTGTGTTGTCTTGAATCAATTACTTCATGAACTGAAAGAAGCAAAAAAGGACAAGGATATAGATGATTTTATACAAAATATAAAAGCTATGTACTGGTTGGATGGCGGTCATTCTGGAGGAAGTAATACTTGGGTAACATACCCTCATGTGCTGAGAGAGTTTTCACAGACTGGAATTTCAGTTAGTGCTCATGTCACACCATATCAGGTATTTGATACAATGAGAACATGGATTGGAAAAGAGCACAAGAGATTTGTACAACTTCTTGAGGAATTTGGTGCAAATATAAATAGCCAACTTCATTTTGCTGATGAAGCACCTTCTTTGGAAAATCACTTCAAAGTGCATGAAGTATTTTGATATGTTAATAATGCCATTATACTGTATCTGCAAAATAGATCTTAAACTTCAAGTTTAATATTGTGTTTTGTTAACACTTGGAAGAGGAAATATTATATATGCCTTCTAAGATGAATTTGATGTGTCTACTGCTTGTAACTGAAGTCACCAGAAAGTTACAGCTTTTGATCTGAACAAGGCAATGATGAGAAAAACCAATTTAAGAGCAAAAAGAAAAAAAAACCTTAATTCAGATTAATGTTATAGGAGATTTTTCTAGAATTATAATGAGCAAAACTTTCAAGCATAGGTATAAAAATATCACCTTCAAATTCTTCTAATTTGATGAAATTTATGTTTTGTTTTTGAATAAAATCCTGTTATTTAGATGGGATAATTATTAGAATAGCAAAGCTACTCTAAACATTATTTAGTACTTTAGCACAAGCGATGCAGTAAATTGGTTATTTTGACAGTATTTATCTTCATTGCAATAAGTATATATTAACCTTGGGAATAAGGTGAATAACTACTGTACTGTTGTGCCAGAGATACCCTGCAATTTCTAACCATTGCAAGCATCTACAGATGTTGTATTTTTTTTGTTTTTTTTTCAGGGGCGGGCATTGGAAGAGAATTGAACAACTTTGTGTGTGTGAGACCAAAAATGTACACTCTCATGTGGTTCAACATTCCATATTAATGGTGAAAGCTTAACGCTCAATACAGTGTTGAGCTTTTGTAACTTGAGACTGTTAGAATTTTTATAACTGTAATTATTACTTTGCTGAATATAAAGCCATGTAATTAATTATATTAATACTGTAAGTTTTGCAAAAATGATAGTAGCATATAGTTATTATTTATAGCACAGGAACATCAAGCAGCATTCTCTTATAAAATGGCAATTATCACCAGTGTAAAACATTTTGATTTTCTGTAGTTAAAAATTAAAGTATTAATCCATCAGTGCAATTGATCAATACTTTTATATATTCTTTGAAAGCTAATTACTAGAAACCAGAACACTTTGGAGAATAGAGAATTCACCTGAATTTTAAATGATTTGTGAAAACAACAGGGTCCCTTAAAACAATTTCCCAATCTTTTCAGCTTTGCGGCCCTGGAGAGGGGGGATGGTTCTGCGCAGATGCGGTGTGTGTGCACGCACTTGCCTGCTGCTTGTCCAAGTGAGGATGTGCGCGCACACTCGCCCATCACTTTCTCTACCCAGTTCTGAAAGATAAGCTAAAATTATTGCTAGAAAAAACTTGTTAAAAGTCAAAGACTATGTCTAAATTGTTTTTGCTATAACAGAAAAGGTTTGATAATTTTCATAGAATATCCTCCTAACTACATTTTTCCATATTATTCCATTCTGTGTTTTGCAAGGAGGACACCCTTCAAAAGTAACTTTTTAAAATGGGATAGAAAGTTAAGGTAGAGGAATGAATACAAATGGAGATCCTTATTTGCGAGAGTAAGCACTGCCTGCTTACTATCCATTGTATAAGCCACACAGCTTTTGAACATGAGTAAGCTATAAAATTATTGTTTGGTTATAATCGGTGGAATTTAATGATATGCTTGTTCCGTGGAAGCCATTTTTCCTTCTCTGGTGTCGTGAGAGAGCTGTGAGAATAAGAAAGTTGTGGTTTGTTAGCAGTAGACCTTTAGCATAGACTTTGATGCCATCTCATACTATGTAAAGATGATGCAAGTTTATCACATCAGTATCAATGTGAAATGGCTATTTGTCCTGATCCAATAATTCGCTGTGGGTGAATTTGAGATATTGTACACTGACCCCTTTTTATTTATTCCCCTCACTTCAGCATTTCCAAAGGGATGTGCGCATGGAAGAGGGAAAGCTAGGATGTTAAGTAGGTCAAATCTCATAATGTTGTTTGTGCAGCCAAAATGCAGGGATTTTTGCTTTT